ACCCTGAGCCGGTGAGATTTGAACAACCGAACTGCAGATAACAGTCAGCTGAAGTAGCCTGCAGTACTGCACTCTACCCACTGCACCACCTCGGCTCTTACACCTGGGGCAGGAGAACGCTGAAAAGCGAAACAAGATTTGGGGGTGTTTTGAGCGTGGCCTGCAGCGGAAGCTTCCACGCACTTTAGATCAAGTTGGATCCAGAGGATAATGGGGATATATTTTTAAAAAATCAACTTTTGCGCGGGCCTTGGTGAGCAGGAAAGGGGAGAGAGATGCGGCTGAAAGTTTGGTTCCACGGGAGGCTTGTATGAAATCCTTGCTTGCGGGAGTCAGGAAGATCTTCCGTGGTGCTAGAAGCTGTGGCCGAGCAGAGTGGACACTGTGGGGTTTAACTGGACAAGAATCTTGCCTTAGTTCGGAGCGGATTCCTGGCTTTGGCTTCAGTCCCTCCCTCTCTTTTAATTTTTTTTGCTTTTTAAAAATTTCTTTTTCCTGTTTACTGTCTGTGCTTATTTCGGCCCCGTTCCCATTTTGGACAGTTTTTGGACTCCAGGGCCTGAATCCGAAGCCAAGTTGTTGTTTGTTTTGGTTCCTTTTGCATTAATACGAAGTCCGTGATGTAACTATTGTACATTTCTTGGATACCAACACTTTTTTTTTAACTATTTCCAAAATGTCTCCTCTCTGCAGCTTGATTAAAGCCTAGCTGTGATAAGGGCAGCCCTTCCGGCCTCAGCTGGAAAAACTTTGGGCCAGGAGTATCCTTGCACATTTTATTTTATTTTTTTATTTCGAGCAGCAGCAGCGAGCCTGAGTAACCGTTACCGTTTCTACCGGGGCATAAACCATGAATTGTGGTGAATGCGGACCGTGGTGGCTGGCTAACAGGAAGGAGGAGTCAGCGGACTTCCTCTGTTGCCAAGCCTTGCCATCTGGAATGTCATTTGGGCAAGGAAGCGTGAAAAAATTGGATTTTTTTAAAATTAAAAAGTACAAGAGAAGCGATGCTCAAAGGGGCATGCAAGATGATTTGAGGGAGAGCAGAAAATAACGCTCAAGAGCTTCTCTCTCTGACCATTGCTGGCTTATTTTTAAGAGTTAAATTAATTGCTGGAAAGGACAATCAGAGTGACGGAAACAATTTCCCCCTTTGGGGGGAGGGTCTCGGAGGGAAAATTCCTTGCCTCTTCCTTTCTCCCACGTCCCCTTCTCCTGAACACACCAATTTGCTGAGATCCGGGGACATTATCCCGGCTCTCAGAGGAAGCCTCCTCCACTCCTATTGTGCCCCTCAATCTCTGGTTGGCAGCTCAGGACTGGCATCCGGCTGCCAGCAAAAGACCAGGGTGCCAACTCCAGAAATCACGGGAGGAGCGTTCCGGGAGGAGACAGGAGTGGGTGGAAAGGGGGAGCAGGAGCGATAGAAATCCTCCTAGTCAGGCTTAGGAAATCAAAGCTGAGAGATAAAGAGATTTTGCCTGACAATAAGCCTGCAGGAGGGACTCGGCTGTCATCCTCTGTGCCAGGCGAAGAGAAAGACCTGCCAGCTCACCCCAGGTTTTATGGCCTCTTTCTCCAGCTCAGCCCCTTTGCTGCTCTTCCAATGTCCCGGCTTCAGACTGGCTCTCTTTAGCTAGGATAGGCTGAGCCATAGTTAACCGAGGCATGGTTCCTGGAATAAACCACCATTTCCTGGATTTGCAGAATAAGCTGAACTGCGAGTCCTCACTGAACTAAGGTTTATATATTGCCCTGTGCCCAAAGCCACCTGAACAACGGGTGGGTTGTGTGAATTTACGAAGGAAGGCAAATCTACATGTCCCAGGATAATGTTGAAAGATCCAGTTTGGGTCGGCCATTAGGAACAGAAGTTTTGTCTCCCAAGTGTTCGGACTTGTGCTGGAGCCCATCCTCAGGGAACTGCCATATTTTTTGGAGTATAAGACGCACCTTCCCCCCACCCCCCAAAAAAGAGGGTGAAAATCTGGGTGCATTTTATACATTGAATACAGCACTTTTGGCCCCCTTTGCAAAAATGGACGTGCAGAGGGTTTGGGAGTCTTGCAAAGTGCTCCTGGCGACTGGGGAGAGCAAAAATGAGCAAAATATGGGGTGATTTTTTTGCCCTCCCAGCCCCCAGGAGCACTCTACAAGACTCCCAAAGCTCTGCATGCCTTTCTTTTTTGTGTGTGTGTAAAAAACGAGGCATGCAGAGGGTTTGGGAGGCGTGCAGAGTGCAAAAACTTTTTAAAAAAATTTTCCTCTTCAAAATCATGGTGCGTCTTATACTCCGGTGCGTCTTATAGTCCGAAAAATATTGTACTTCTTCCAGTGTGAGTCCGAAAACTCAGACAAGTAAATCTCTTGGGTGAATTTAGTCCAAGAGTCTGTAAATCTGAGTTCTTTCTCCAGGAATCAGTAAGAAAATGGACCTTAAGCTTTGAATGATGGCCGGGTATTGCGAATCCAAAAATTTCATGTGACCACCAACCTTCTGAAAACCCGAGGTTCACGTGGACTTTTCTGTCTTGCAGGTGTCTGCCGGAATGATGTGATGAATCCTCCGCACGCCTCCTCCACAGAGCCTCTCCCGTGGCCAAGATGGACGTAGGAGCTGTTCAAGAGGCGGCGATGCCTCCCGGCCCCTGGAGAAGGAAAGAGAATCCAAGGGATGGAGAGTCCTTAGGCTGAGGAGGCGAAGGCGACGGGCTCTTACGAAACCTGGTCCTTAATGACATCATGGGAGAAACCCAGCATGTTTATGCCACCCGGGAGGTTGAGTCTGGTGGCCAGGACAAAGTTCTCAGCTTCGAGGCGTTCGGCAAGAAAGATCCGGGTGAAGTTGAAAGCAGGCGGCTGCTCGACAGCTCCGAGTCGGAGGGACCAAGTGGGGGACACAATGGGACCGACTTGGTCAGCAACAAGGAGAAGGAGCCTCACAGCCAACGGGAAGCTGTGATCCGCCCCCAGAAAGCAGGCAAAATAGACTTTAAGTCCCTCAACAACCGACCCAGGTTTTCAGGGGCCGGCCCATGGGGTGCTGCCAAAGGGGACCCCCCGTCTCCCCCTGGAAGGAACCGGGCGAGAGATAAGAGCAGCAGGCGGTCAGGGAGGAGCGAGCGGGGTCATCAGCAGCTCTACCGGCTCACCCTCAGCAATGCCAGGCCCAACCCCACCATTGGCATCGCTTACCCCCAGCAGAAAATCACACCCCCCAAGAAGGTTGAAGCTGACCGAGGGCCGGTTTTGGGCAGCTACCGGTTCCATGTGCCCAGCCTCCCCGAAAGAGATCTGAAACTCCCCGAAGAAGAGCTGAGCTTCGGCCGCTGTTTTCCTGAGGCTCCCACCAGCCACATCTCCAGCAACTATACCTCACAAGCCACCACTGCATGTCCAAGCCATGGTTCGAAGATACAACCACTGGTTAGTGTTCCTCCCGAAAGTCCTGACGCCAAAGGGCAGCTCCCTTACCTGGAGTTCCAAGCCAACGGAAGTCACTTGTGGCCTTCGCCGGACAAAGACTATCCTGGTGCTAAAAATGGACTCCCAGCCCCCAAGCAGAGCATGCATTGCCTCGGCCCTCTCTCCTTCCAGTATCCCTTCTCCCCTTTGCACAGCTCGGCCTCAGATCCCTTCCAAGGTGAGGCTCACCCCCAAGACTATGGCGACAACCTCTCGTTGGCCACCAGTCAGGCTTCCCATAGTGCTTTTCCCTTCCACTCTTCCTCCGGGGAGGAAGTTCTTGGCAACGGCTCCTACGACAATGTGGAGAGCAGGACCTACGGGCTGCCTCCTCCCCCTGCTCCGTTCCACCTGCCCCAAACGCTGGGACCCCCCTTGCCCTGCTACAAAGGAAGGAGCGGGCCTTCCCCGGACCACAATGGTGCTATCTCGCCTTCTGGTGCTATTGACCAAATCCCAAGCACTTTCCAAGAAAACCCAGCTGTTTTCCCACCCAGTTTACATGCCTCGAGTACGCCGAAGGCCGTGGGTCAGAGGTATCCGTCTTTGTCGAAAGACGGCGTAGCTAGTCAAAGGATACTGGATGTAGGCAGCTCTCTACGAAGGAACGGGCTACCGGTTACTCTCCCGCAAGTGCACTTTCAGAACAAGGCTTCCAGCGAAGCCTCCAGCTTGGTGCCTTTTGAGAAGACCCTCCCCGCCAGCGTTCAGGCCCACCCCCGGCTCCTGCAGGCCTGGGAGGGAGGCAAAAAGACTTATCCCGCCATGGAGCCAAGCTCAGCGGGGAGCCCCGGTCCAGGGGTCAGCCAGATCTCCTTTGGGTACCCTTCTGGTCTTGGCAAAAAGGCCTGGCAGCATCTGCATCTCGCCTCTGGTGTGCCCGGCCAGAATAGACTCGAGCTGTCCAGAAAGTTGGCCAGCCAGAAGCTCCCTTTCCCCCTCAGCACCCCAGAGTGGGAGGGAAGCAAGAAACTGCCCCAGAACCCCACCAGCTATCCCAGTAAAGCTCTGGGGGCTGAGGACCTGGCCCCTCCCAGCTGTAGCTCAGCCAGCGGCCTCTCCTTCGAAGGGCCAAGCGAAGTGGAGACGTCCAAGAACAAGACTTTCTTCCTCAGCCTGAGCCCAGCACGGCCTCCCATCCCCTCTCACCACCCACCCAGTCCCTGTTTAGGGTTGCCACCCTTAGCCCCATCCCCAAAGGGGTCTCCTCTCTCGTCCCCCAACCTCAACAGCAGCTGTTCCTCTCCCACCCTGACCTCCAGCAGCCCTCCAGGCCACAGCTTTGAAGAGGAAGCTCCCATGGCCGCCTCCACCTTCTTCCATCACCAAGGGCACCCGAAGGATGGCACTAAACCCTTCCAGGCCTCGGAGCTGCTGGGTGCCAGCTCAGCCCCCTACCAGATGGCCAACCCTATCAAGGCCTTTCACCAGGAACTCCTCTACAAAGGCGTCTCCGTGGACAGCCATTTCCAGAAATCCAACGCGGATGCCTCCAAAAGGTGCCCGGAGGGTTTTGAGAGCGAGGTGCCTCCACCACCTTACCCATATTCCTCCTCCCGCCACTTCCTGGCCAGCTCCCTGAGCAGCACCAGTCTCGACCAGCTGGATGTTTTCCTGACTTGCAAGCAGTGTGACCAGAACTTCAGCAATCTCTCCTCTTTCTTGGAGCACCGTCAGTTCTGCGGCTCTCACGTGGTCCTCCCAGGCCAGGCCAAGGACTCTTCCCGAGGAGCAGAAGTCAAGAAGCAACATCACGCCTCTCCTGAGTCTGCAAAGCTCGCCCAAGCTAGCCTGGGGATGCTTCTCCCTTCAGATCCTCACTTGCAGCTGCTTGCTTTGAACAAGACTGTGGACTTCTTGGTGGACGTTGAGGGTAAAAGTGAATCCAAAGATGACCCTTTGAAACTGAACCAGCTCAATGGCTTTCCCGGAAACTTCTTGCCACTCAACCCTTCTGACTTGGAGATCGATGACGCTAAGCTGGACAGTTTGATCACTGAAGCTCTGAACGGACTGGGGTACCAGTCGGATAACCCTGAAATTGATAGCAGCTTCATAGATGTCTTTGCCGATGAAGAGCTGGTCTCTGTGAAGGCCGCTAATGCTGGGACGCCTTTCAAAGCAAAAGAGAATTTGGCTTTAGGGAAGAAATCCAAACACGGAGCAATGGATGAAAGCATGAAAATGCTCAGCTGCTCTGACGACCACCCTAGTGGGGAGCTGGCCAAAAATAAGACATCAAAGCAACCTAAAGAGAGAGGAACAAACTGGCTTTCAGACTTTGGAGAAGAAAGGCACGAAACGTTCAAGAGCACAGAATTGCCTCGAAATAAAGCCCCAGAGCCATCAGTATTGGGGGCAGCAGCAGAAGAGGTCCCAAGTGTCCAGCAGAGAGCAGGGAAGAAGAACAGCAGTGCTCCTTTCCTGCCTACGAAGCAGGGGAGCCCAGCGATGTCAGATTTGAGGCAGACCAAGAACCTTCCCTCTGCTTCTCCAAGGAGTAAACTCAAGCCCAGTGATACTCACAGCAGGGCAGAAAGCACCACGCTGCCCACGGAAGATGCCAAGAAGAGGAAGCCGCGCAGTGGCAGTTGGAGCAAGGAGCTGATCCATAAAATTGTCCAGCAAAAAAACAAGTTCCATAAACTTCACAGCCAGACTAGCAAAGCAGTGTCCCTTTCCTTGCTCACCAACCGGTTGCTTCCAGAAACGAAGGACAATAAATTTGGCGAGTACGAATACATGTCGGAGTCCGATGACGAGAGGGTGGAGTACGCCAAGCGACACTGCAGGAGAAAGCTGGGCTCCAGGTTCAGCGGCCGGCTCAGAAGCGGTTTGAGCAGAAGGAACCAAGGCAGAGGAGGAAGGGAGAAGGGGACGGAGCCAATATGGAGGTACGGGGGTTCCAGAAGAGGACAGGAGGAACTCGAGAGACTTGCAAGCAAGGAGCTGCAAAGGACAGAGGGCCCTGTAGCCAGAGTGAGGAGGAGAAGCAGTCGGTCCTCCACCAGCAGTTGCCAGAGCCTGAGCGTGTCCAGTGAGACCAGCAACAGCCCCCAGAGCATCGAGAGGGCCGATTCAGACACCGAAAGAGAAAGGGAAGAGAGGAAACAGTTCCTGAAAATCTCCAGACGTGTCACACCTCTTAATGTTCCTGAGAAGGAAACCCTAAGAAGAAGCCACGCGATGGGTTCTGACTTGACTGGAAAGCCAAATAAGGTTGACCCACCTCAACCTCAGCCAGTAGAGAATCAGAAATTTCAGAAGGACAATCCGAGCGTTCCCCAGGACCCACATCTCACACAGAGCAGAGAGGTGTCGTATCACTCCGAGGCCACAGCTGGAAAAGGTCCCACTGTGCTGCTTTCTCCTGATGATTCTGGCCAGTACCATGGAGCCTTCTGCGGTGACCGTGAAGAGCCAAGGGTGATGCCAAAAGATGCAGGTGAGGCAGAGGGCCATCACCGCCACCAGTGCACTGCCAGTAAAGGCGGGGTCTTGAAAAACCCAGTGGAAGAACTCTCTGGTTCTCCTTCCGTGGGCAAGCACAGCCTTCCCAGCGAGGGGGGCACCAGCTATGGACAAGTGGACCTCGAGGGCCTGAAGAACCAGCAGGAACTCATGATGCCAGTTGGCTGCTTCAGTGACAATCCTGGGGGCGGAGAGATCGCTGGGAAAGGTGTCAACACATTTCTGGATGCTGCCAACGCCTTTTATGACTGCAAAGAATTATCCCACAGCTATGAGGCGCCGAGTCTATTCTCAGGGCCTCCAGCCATGGAACCTTCCCCGAACGGAAACGCGTACTTATGTCAAGGAGACTTTGACGTGCCCTCGTTCAAAGTGAAGCACGAAGCCATCCTGCCCTGTGAATCGGACAACGCCCAGAGGAAGGTCCCCTCACCCCTTAATTTTGATTCATCATCCGTATTTTTAGAATTCCCTATTGCTGAGTTTGATGCCAACTTATACGATAGTGTGGCTTCAAGCAAGGATAATTACATCCCCTTTGAGTGTGCCAATCATCAGCTTAGCAAGATAATCCCCTTTGACCAGCAATATCCATCTTTTCTGCCGGAAAAGGACTGGACGCTGATGGAGGACGTGTCTCCCATTTTGGCAGGCGGTACGCCCCAGATTCCTAGGCCGCCTGTTGAAAAACCAGCGCTCTCCAGCGAAATCAGCCCCTTGACTCTATCTGACCAGCTTTCTGACTACAACGTGCATTTCATGAATGGTCTGTCCGAGGATGAGCTGGAGATTAAAAGGTTGGTCACCGAGCTTGAAAGCCAGTTGCAAGCAAACAAGCTTCCTCTGCAGGCACCTCATGGAGACCAGGCTTCAGTCGATCACATCAGCATGGAAGCCAAAGAGCCAACTCCCGGGTTTTTGTCTTTAAGTCTGGACCAGGAACAAGAGGGCAAAGGATTGTTTCTAATGGAGGCCGGGTATGAGAGTGGAAAGCTCCTTTCTACAGAACCCTTTAGCTGTGAAAATATAGCACATGAGAAAAGACCCCTTCCAGCTTTGGAAACCAAGTACGGAAGTCCCGACGATCCTTGGCCATGCGCAGGATCATTCAGCCCACTAGAGTCAGCCCCAGATTTGATTCTAGTAGGTCCTTTTAGCCCCCAAGAGCACCAAGACAAAACTGCTGAAGATCTGAAGGATATCAAAATCTCCGCTGAAGTCGACTTTGGGGGAATAAAAAATGCATCTGCTGGAATCCTGTCAGATTCATGCCTTGATGAGGTATCAAACAGCTCCAGGGCCCCAGACTATCCTGAACAGGCGATACAAAGTCCCGATTCAATCTTTCCCGAGTCTCTGGAGGACAGGGATCTGGAGCCCCATGATAATTTGCCACTGAGACCAGATGTGTTCCCAAAGATACTCCTGGAGGAGAAAACATGCGGCAGCCCCACCGAGTTAGAATCGTATGGCCACGAGGTCCCACGGTTACATCCGGAATTTGACTTGCAAGATGTGGACACTCTAGAATCGGATGGAAACTTGTCTTCTGGTGCCCAAGGCAAAAATCCAGAAAAGCATCCCCCTGAAAAGCTAGAAACGACCACTCTGTTCCAGGACAATGAAGGGGAACATCTAGGTAATAATGAGGAGACTGGAAGTCAAACAATTTGCCAGACGTTAATGCTCAATGCCAAAGCTGACCGTGGAGACACACCACACTTTGATGTGTTGACTTTTCCCAAGGAGGTGGATGGAGAAGTTGGGTTCGAGTCCCCCACCCGAGAGAAAGGAGGCAACCCTCTTCAGCAGTTGCAGTTGTTTGTGGCCAGGACAGTTAAGAACAATGAGGAAGAGTTGGTGAGTTCATCCTTCCCAGCTCAGCATCCTGTGGCTCACCTGCCCTCGTGTCAGAGCCTCCCTCCAGAGCCAGGAGAGGAGCTTGTGGGCAAAGAGCCACATGAAGAAGTCACCTGTGGCCCCGTGTTGGAGAACAAGAGAGAGACTCTGTTAAAAAAGACTGAGAAACTAGCCGGGTTTCCAACTCAGCTGCTTTCAGAACCAGAGACAGAGTCAAAACATTTTGATGAATGGGCCTCAGATGCTTCCAAAGACTCAGCCCCATTGAACCCAGCACAATGCGCTAACCTTGTCCAGCAGCAGCGCTTCAAGGTTGACTGTTTGGAAGTGAACGGCCACGCGATGCATGCCGAGGGCATCTCCATGGAGCCCGATGACCTCTCTCCACTCAACAATTCAGAAACAGCCTCGGAGCTAAGTGGGGGGAGAACACAGCCAAGTCAAGTTACAGGACTGGCAGGGTGGGTTGAAGCAGAGAAGACCTTGGCATTTAGAGACTGCAGAAAATCCCCCTTAAGCCCTTGGCCATCTGAGAAGGAGACGCCACGAGGTGCTTTGTCTGCCATGCTCCAAGCGCACGGGGGCTCTTGCGCTTCTTGGAACGCTGGGGACCAAGAGTTGGGGGCTGCCAAAGTCCACCGGGTGGAAGAGAGAGACGATCAGCTGCAACATCTGCAACTCGGCATGTCGTTGACTCCCATCTATTCCCCTGAAAGCCAAACTGAGGATGCTCAGCTCCTGCAGAGAAATGACTTCTCTTCAGCAAACAGCTCCGATTCAACAGAAGCTCATGAATCGGAGAAGCAAGTCAGTTACTACCCCGAAGCCTCCCAGGCTGGACTTTCTCTGGACGCTGGTTTTGCTGATCAGGAAATGGTGCTCAAAACAAAAAATGCTACAGGCTCCGACTTTGGAGGGATTCTATCTGAAGAGACCACCGATGCCATCACTGCAGCAACTCAACAAGTTGCCTTCCTCGCGTGCAGCTTCCCCTCCGTTCTAGAGAAGACTGCAGTTCCTCGGCAGAGCCCACCCAGGCAGAAAGGGTGTACAGAAGCCCTTCCGTTCTTCTGTGATGCCATTTCTCATCTGCCCCCGGATGTGCCTGATGCCAAGGCTGAAGACCTCAACCATGACCCGTTGGAACCTCAGAAGAATGTCCCTCTGGGTTACTCCTCAGCTCTCTGCTCCGACAAAGAATCATCTTCTACTGCTAACACAAACAGACCTTTGAACTTGCAAGTGGGGGGCTGCAAATCTCCCAGCAGGCTCCCTCTGAAAAGCAAGAAACATTCTGAAGTGCTCTCCACAAATCGGCCAGATGAAGACAAGGGCGTGTTTTCTGCGAGGAATGAACCCGGTTGTCCTCCGGCAGCATCCACGCATGATATCTCACTCAGCCCGCTTCCATCAGGAATTGATTCTGTTGAGCTTAGAGGTGGAGTCTGTAATGAAAATGTGTCATCAACATCCCAACCCCAAGGGGCAAAGGTCATCGAAGGAGACCCCCGGGGAGAAAGTAGAGATCCATGTCAGTCGGAGTATTTCCAGAGAGACGTTGATGTTCAAGGGGTGCCAGTTGTCCTTCTGACTAAAATGGCTGATGACACTAGTCAGATTCCACCAAGAAGACCCTCAAGTGACCCACAGGATCCAGAAAACAGAAGCAATTTGGGGAAGGAGGACTCGGCGTCGAATGAGAATGTGAAAAAATCATCTGACTGCACAGAACAATCCATTCCTGAGGATCCAATCTTAAGGAATTATTCCAAGCCGGGACAATCCAAAGCAAGGAAGAGGAGAGGCTTGCAGATTGCTTGTGATATCTGCTCCACTTCTTTTAGATCCAAAACTGGGCTGATGAGACACAAAGCTGTGAAGCATCAGAAGCAAAAGGAGAGTGTTGTGTTGCCTGACGACAATTCGACTCCGTTGGAGAAAGCATTGAAGGCAGGAAAAGCGTTGCCCAGGAAAAGCCTCAAGTCCTTCATCCAAGAAAATCCTAGTCACTCAGAGCTCTCAAAAGCTGTAGGCCAGCCTTCTCCTAAAACCTCCAGAAGGCGAAAGAAAAAGGCACAGAGCCAAGAAGGTATTGGCAAGGAACTCCACGGCCCAAATGTTATTTCACTGGACGCAACTCATGAATCCCAAACGACACATGAAATACAACCCATCAGCTCACAAGCAGAGAAATCGGAAGGGTCAGAAATCCAGTCTAGAAAAAACACAAGTACAGAAAAACTCATCCGAGCGGTCCACGCCAAAAGTAGCTACACAAGGCGGAAAACCAAGGAAAGACCCAGGCAAACAAAAACGACATCCGACAAAAATGAGGTCACCGCCTCTTATCTCCAGGAGTCTGAGCTCCCTCCAGTTCACTGTAAGGCCACGGGCATCACAGATGACCACATTCTGACCACCGTCACGGAAGAACCTGGGGATGGGCCGGAAGAGCCGATCGAGGTATCTTTGCCATGGCTTCCTCAGCAGCCCTTGACAAACGAATTGGAAAACACTGGTGAGAAAAGGACCTCAGCTGAAAGGATAAAAGTTGGACCACAGCTTCCTCGGAACGGGGAGAGCCCTCAAGAGGAAGGAGAAGAGCTGGGGCAAGAAGAACATATCCATGAGAGGTGGACGAGCAGATATGTGAAAGAAGGTGAGAATGAACTGAACCAGAAGCTATCAGAGAAGGGTTTGTTAGAAGAGACGGCTTGTACAAGTCAAAACAGCCCGCTGGTGGACCTCACAAGCCCCAACACCTTTTCACCACCCTCTCCTCCTGGAACTGCTTCTGAACCAGGTTCTCCTAAGCCCACACCTGAGAAAGCGTTGGGTGCTCCTTGTTTCATCACTCCGGAGTCCTGGAAGACGGAAAATCCCCAGCCCCAGAAGGAGGCGTCTGCTGCCGTCAAACCAGATCTACCGAGCTTGTTCGATGATGACTCCACCTTTTCACAACTTTTCCCCAGAAACGATGAGTTTGCCCGTAGAAAATGCACACGTGTGTACGGGAAGCGCTCCAAGAAGCCTAAAGCTGTTTTAGAGATCATTGCGAAACCAGAAGGCCCACCAGATCTTCTTACGATCCGCATGGCTTCCGATCTTGGCGAAAACAGCTCCTTCTGCGTTACCCGGGAAGATCCTTGTGAGTATGACACAATCTCCGTTGATGACGCTTTGATGCTCAACATGTGCCACGGGAGTAAAGCCGCCAGTGATGATGTTAATTCCAGACCTACCAAGGAGACAGCCCGGCAATTGGACACTTGGCAAAAGGAGGACGACGGTGATTTAAAAAACAGCCGTGTCTTTCTGTGCAAAGGGAGTCCGACTGGGCCTCTTCCATGCTTTGAAAGCTGGAAGAGCCACGAGGAAGCAACAGAAAATGATTCTGTTGAGGGCCCATCGTGTAGCTCACCCAGGCAGCTTCCTTATGGGCCCTCGGGAGCAGAAGACAATCCAGAATTGCCTGACCTGAAAGAAAGATCCCAGGGCACCAGAGAAGAAACGTCCTCTGCATTTCCTACCATTGACATGGAGATGTTGAACATGAAGTTCGAGGCGAGGGCTGTGGGGTTCTGCCCCGTTGGGGAAGATCAGCTGAGTCCCACAAAGGATGAGGATAATGCTACCTTGGGCTTCAAGCCAACTTCAGTGTTGCGCGTCAAGCCTGTGAAACATAAGCTAGAGGAAGGGAAGGCGGGCAAAACCCGCCACGATCTAAATCTCAAGAACAAAGACAAGCAGTACAAGTGCAAAGTCTGCTTCCAGTGGTTCCTCACTTTAGGGGAGCTGGACTTCCACAAGCTCAGCCACAACCCCTCCCCTCCGCCAACGTGCTACATGTGTGTCCAGAGGAAGTTCAGCTCGAGGGAACAGCTGAGGGACCACTTGAGGGAGAAGCACACCAAGAACAAAGCTGGCCTCTGGGCCTGCGGGATGTGCCTGAAGGAAATCTCGGAGGTCTGGATGTACAACGAACACTTGCGGGAGCATGCCACTCAGTTTGCCCGCAAAGGCCAGGCTCAGAAGTCCGTCTTGGGCCTGGGTTTCAGCGAAGAGGATGCTGCTGTCACTCATTTCCTCAACTCCATCATCTGCCGAAAACCCAGCAAGTTTTCCAAGCAGGCGGAAGCGGGGAACGGAGCAGCGGCTGGCAGCGAAGTCAAAGGTCCCAAAGAGTTTTCAGGACAAGAGACGGTGGTCCACAAGGACATGCCGGAGACCCCCTCCAGAATCCGGCCACCCGCAGCCTCCCTCAAAGTCCCCGCCGTCCCGTCTCCTGACCCAGTCCCCAAGGTCGAAGGGGCACAGAAGTCGGTGCCCATCCATCCCGAATGTAAGGACCCCTCTCGCGATTGCCACCACTGTGGGAAGCAGTTCCCCAAGCCCTTCAAACTCCAGCGACACCTGGTGGTCCATAGCCTACAGAAGATCTTCTTGTGCCACAAGTGTCCCATGTTCTATCAGGAGACCAAGGAGCTCCGGAGCCACCTTAGCCAAGAGCATGAAATAGCCGAGGAAGCCGACATCAAGCACACCACTCTGTATGCCTGTGAGCTGTGTGCGGATGTCATGCACGTCATCAAGAAGTCTTTCATATGCAGCACTTGCAACTACACCTTCTCCAAAAAGGAACAGTACGATAGGCACATGGAGAAGCATCTGGTGGGCAGCAGCAAGACCTTCCGTTTTCGAGGTGTGATGCGCCCGGGGCTCTTGGCAAAATACGGGAAGAAGGACGTCAAAGAGGAGACCCGTGCAAGAGCAGAAGCTCCAGCAGCCAAAAAGAAGAAGGTTTCCCACCATCACAACTCTCCTGAACTAGCTTTGCCTGGGCACCTGGATGGACCCCAAGCATCTCAAGAAGGTAGCCAGACTCTGCTATCTGCTGATGAGGCTCTGTCCGCAGCCACTAGCCTGGCCATGCCCCCTTCATCTCAGCCCCCTATGGAAACAGAAGGCCTGGGAAGGGATTTCTCCAGTCTCCTGGCCAAAAGGGGGACGTCTCCACTTCACCACCTGCTTCCATCCCTTCCTCTTGAGCCCCAAGACAAACCACGCAGCCCAGAACACATTACTGCACTTTCCCCAGAAACATGGGGACACGCGGAGAGCCCAGCTCTCCTCTTAAACTCACCCGATGCACTTAGCGGTGATCTTGCCAATGTGTCACCTAAGAAAACATCTGCCGCCCAGGAAAAACTCTCTCTGGCTTATCTCTCTGAGAAGCACAACAAGGAACGCAACATTCCAGAAACGGCAATAGTTAGCCGAAGGGTTGAACACAACACAGGGACCTGGGAGAGCCCGTATTTAGAAGATCTCGCCAGCAAGGTGCCCAGGTTTTCTTCTGAAAATCTGGGGTCTTCAGAATGTAAATGGTCTCCCGAAGTACAGTGGAGCAGCAATCCTAATTTGAATGGAACAGCTCCTCGAGAGTCTGGGAGCAAGTTACGTTTGCCAGAAACCAGTTTCCGTGAGTTGCCTCTCAAGGACAAGTCATCATCATCTACCCTAAACCGGCCGGCCAAGGAGGTTCCCTCAAAGAAGATCGTAGGTAGCCAAGCCAATGCTGATAACACCCCTGGCATCCACTGCTGCCTAGATGGTGCGGAAGAAGTCCAGATGTGCTCACTCTCGAAAGACAAAGCTTTCCCAGAAATGGATGGCACTGCTCACCCCAAAGATACCAGCTCCGGTGTTGGCGCGAAAGAGACAGAACTCAACTTGGTCAGGCCTGCAAGCGGCCATCTCCAAGGCGAAGTGGCGGGTGCTCAGTCAAAGAGCCACCATTCTGAGCTGAACAAGTTTCCAGAAAGGCCGGCTGTGAATCGGCCGGCCAATCCTCACTCCAAAAAACCCAAGGAACACAACAAGGCCTCCCATCGGGGAAGCTCGGCCTCCCGGGAGAACATTGAAGGAGACGGCAGCAAAAAACGGAAAGGCCGGAGCCAAGATTCTGTGAAGGGCGACCACGTCAAGAAGGTTGACTGGCCCACTACTGAGGCATTGGCCTTTTCTTCTCGACGGAGGGAGACGCATGCCAATAAACAGGGGCCTAAACTCAAGGTGTCTGTGACGGATAGCCAGCTTAGAAAGTTGGTGCTTGACCCAGGCTTCCAGAAGAAGGTGGAGATCGGCCATGCCAATGGAGAGTTGAGGCGCAAGAAGGAGATATTGGGGAGCAAAGCCCTCTGCCCCCTTTTAACCAAAGACCCCTCTGCCTCCCTGCCCAGCTCTCTGAACCGCCGCAGAGCTGTCCAAGGTGCTAAAGTCCCCACTTCCCACAGTTACAGGACAGCTGAGTCCCAAACTCACCTCCTAAACCAACTCTTTGGTCAGAAATTAACGAGTTTTAAAATTCCTTTGAGGAGAGATACTTCTGAGTAATTTATGAGTGACTTATGGTGATCCTTCGCTGCTTTCATGGGGCTGG